CGATTTCCATTAAGCTTTCAGTTGAAGTCTCAGATAAAATGAGAAACATGGAGGCTAGTGAAGCCAAGACTGGAGATTAACACAGATGTGGGTCCTCTGATGCTTTGAAGTAACGGGCTGTAATTCCCCCCCCTGGCTCCTCGATTCCTCGGCAGGAAATTTAATTTTGTTCCCGCAGGTCTGCCATAGGTTTTATGTTCGGGGCAGAATTGGATAATGTCTTTTTTTTTTTCAGAATTCCTCAGTCTCCCTGGATCACTAAGCTGCCCATTTTATGGGCGAGGAAGAGTTATGAAACAGGACCCTGCATGCAGAGGAATGAGGAAGGGCAAATTCCACAGATAGGAAATTACCCATCCCATGATAATGTACTGATTGATTTCATGAATAATTAGACAAGCAATCTTACGGCTGTAGATAGCATGTACCTTTGTCTTTGGGAACAGTGTTGGACATGAAAATAGCACACAGAGAGGCAGAAGACAGGCTCCAGCTGGTGTTCCGTTTGTCTTTGTGTTGTTGGTGATGCACAAACTGGACATAGGTTTGGATATTTGGGTGTGTTTGAATTCATGAGATACCTCTAATAGGTGGTGGCTACAACACAGTGTGGATTATAAGCAGAGGTGGATAGTTCATATGGCCCTATCAAACCTGGACTCTTAATCATCCCCTATATCTAACTGGTGAATTCTCTCCTGCCCCTTCACCACCTTAGCTACTGTGTGGTGAGCGTACTGGTGCAGAATGGCTGCCATCGTGTCATCCAGGTGGGGGCTACACAGTGGTGGTGGTTGAAGTGACTCCCCACTGCTTCTGTAAAGGGCCTTGGGTGTCTTGAAAATCTATAAATATGACATTTACTAGATCCAGGGGGGTGTTCCATAAAACAGGATTTCATGGTCATCTGAGCTATGATTGTTCAATAGTTTATGTAAGGAGCATTTTAATTGGACAATCATGATTTCCAGCTTAAGTTAACCCAGCTAACTGAGAAATCCTGCATTGTGGAACACCCCCCAGAAAGTAAAAATCCTGACTAGGATTTTGCTTCAGCGAATGAGTTGAGTATAGAGTCACAGTCAATTGGTTGCTTGAAACTAAATCTTGGTCTCAATTTTTACTTTCCAGACTTGAACTATCCACTTCTGATTGCATGGTTCGACTTTATGTGGAGTAAGCGGTTTTGATAGTGTTTACAAGTTTCACACGTTACACAGGCGCCTACAGTAATTCTAACTCAGAGTCCGTTTCAGGGTTCTTTACTCCATGCATACTTCCGAAGTAATGGTGATAATAAGCGGCGAGGAGCTGCGTACTCACGGGTCGACTCTGCTGAAGAACCGCCGCCGCAGTATGATGGCCAGGGTGGTGAGCACCATGACTGTGGTACACATGGTGTAAGCTGAGGGCTGTGGGGTTCAGCACATCCGAGCCATGGGGTCCTGACGAGCGGAGAGCTACGTGAGCCCGTCGCCCGCGACTACGGACGCCTGCCCCCACCCACGGACGGATTAGCTAGGGGATTAAGCCAGATCAGAGGCGCCGCTATTGAGGGCAGCGGCAGAGCGGTGAACGTCAGCGTGTGAGTGCTTCCAGAATAGGGGCTTCTTCCTGTTACCCCACCCTCAAGATGAGAAATACAAGCTACCCCACCTTCCCCAAACACAGTCCTAAGATGGCCGCACACTCCTCCCCGACCTGTTTTCATTCATGTGGAAATGATTGCTGCTTCAAAGAGACCCAGCTGTCCCTCAAAGTCTCTCGGTTTTCCCTCTGGTGTTGGTCAGGGGTCTGCATCCCCCGCTGAGGACCAACAAGAAGGGCGCTGGGGTTGCGTAATGAGGTCTGGGTGCACAGTGAGAACAGATCAGGGGAACCCCAGGAATATATTTGAAAGAGCTCACTTTATTACTCAGGCTTTATTACTCAGTGTCTTCCGTTAAATGTACTTACTGTTTGTAATTTTCCAGATGAAAACAATCAGTAACCCAATGAATCAATTTGTATCTCACAGTCCTGAGAGCAACAGTGGTGCCCTCCCCCATGAAAAAGTGGAAATATGGGGGCATTATCTGAAGGAGCCAGAATGAGCAGACATGCTTTTTGAGGCGGGGGGAGCCTCAAGCTGCTCGGGGGGAAGCGTGAGGGAACAGCACTTGGCTCTGTTGGTTCCTCTCATTGGGAGGTGAATATGAATTTATTCTTCAGACAATGTTAGGCATCTCAGTGCAGCCATTCCTACGCCGCCCTGCATCACCGGCCCTGCATCAGCTCCCGACAACCGATTAAAGGACTGGAGGACATTTCTTCGATGAGCGACCTGCGAAGTTTAAGTATGAACTTCATGCCAGACATATTTTTCTGCATAAGAGGATTTGAATGATGTCTCATTATTTTTTGACTAATTTCTTTGACTGCTTAAAAACCCATCGAGGTCATTTGCATATTTATTTGCAAAATCCACTTATTTGCACATTCATTTGCGTATTTGAAGACTGGGGTTAATGGGCCAATATCCATATGGAGAAGTAGGATATTAGTGACAGAAATAGGGCTGAAATTTTGAAATACACGACATGACAGCGGCCTATGACTCCTGAGCTGCTACTCTGTTGCTGTAGTTATTTTTAACCTAATAAAACAAGGAATCCTGAGATTGTCACGGCATGGTCATGGTGCAGGATGACTGGTGCGAGGTGATTAACCAGCTCCCAGCCGACTGCGCCCATGTCCCGAGCGTATAAGCAGGTCCCCTGTTAATCTGTAAATCTGCAGAATCGCTGACTCAGAGGCAGTGGGTATGCACACATAGTCCCATGACCACAGATTCAGGGTGACCGAGAGGGACAATAAGGAAGAGAGAGACCGCCAAATGCGTGCCATCCCACGAGGCCTGACAGGTCGGCCGGGTGTGGCCTACATGCCGAGCTGGCCGGGGTGTCCGTCTCCTAGCCGTGACTCGCTGACAGCTTTGTGCCTCGCCCCAGGGACCTGAAAACAGCTTTTCCTTCTGCGAGGCTGGAATGATAAGCTGCCAGACAGGAGACATGCCGCCATTTTGTCAGCGGGCGAGACGCCGTGCAAAATGTGGGTGTGTGTGTGTGTGTGTGGGGGGGGGGGGTTCGAATAGGCTGACTGCTGTAACAGCGCCACCGATACCCATGGCATCTCTTGCTTCGTCTGGCTTTAAAACACTCACCCAATAATCAGGGGAGAATTACATGCAGTAAAACAGAAGATAAATATCATTTAAACCCACATGTAAATTTGCTTAATTCCAGAGAGCTACTCTAAAATAGGGGCGCCACGGTGACAGTGGTTAGCACTGTTGCCTCACACCTCTGGGACCAGGGTTCGAGTCTCCACCATGGCTCCATGTGTGTGGAGTTCATGTTCTCCCCAGGTTGTTGTGGAGTTTCCTATGCGTACTCCAGTTTCCCCCCACAGTCCAAAAACATGCTAAGGTTGATTGGAGTAACCCAATTGCCCGTAGGTGTCTATGTGAGTGAATAGTGTGTGTGACTGTGCCCTGCGATGGGTTGGCATCCCACCCTGGGCTGTTCCCTGCCTTCCACCCATAGGCTCCAGGATATAGGCTCCGGACCCCCCGCAAACCTGAATAGGGCAAGCAGTTACAGATAGCGGATGGCTACTCTGAAATATAATTAATGTAAATATTGCTGAAATATGTCTTTGATCCATACTCGTCAAAGTATGTGAAGGAAATTACAGGCCTGGACTCAGACCATCAGAGTACATGTTTATTGATAGTCATGATTATTTGTGACAGGTTTGCTAAAGGTATAAGTCTGTCTTAGATCATGAAAACATGCTATAACAGCACAAAATTGACATTGTCCTCCACCAGCAATGTACAATAATCTGTATATACCATAGATTTATATATATATATCAGAATCAGAGTATAATCTTATTATATATAGCACATATTGATAACCTGTATTTTTTGTATATTTAAAAAATATATAAAGTCCAGACTTTAAAATAACAATTCACAATGATCATCTGGGTAAAAACAAACACATCTAGACATCTAACATTTCCTGCCGACAGACGTTGAATGATAACAACTAGCAAGTGTGTAATTTGTGTGTAATTTGTGATACCCCAGCTTGAAGACATGTGACTGCATGGCTTCCCAGACTTTTCAGCCCATGACCTCATTTT